TTAATGCTACATCAGCTACATGACATAGTTAAGATTTAAAGCCACGTGGAGGGCAGGCAACATTTCGAAATGATATATATAAACAAGACAGCGGGCTGTATATATTTGCTCACAATCAGACAACGGGCGATAAGAAAGAAAACAGAAGGAATAAATATCCATATAAAAGAGGAAAGGTGAGCTAGCGCAGCGTAGAAATTTCAAGCCGAAACGACTGTTAAAAGATAAAGCTATTATGTCGCAAACCAAGATAAAAAAAAAAGAGCCTCGTGGATGAAGAAGAAAATATCGGTGTTCTATCGCATATCGTCCTCTTCGTCAGCCTTATTAAAATTCAAACGCGCGCCGTTCGATAAGCAGAGACTCCCAATCTTGCCTTATCGGCGAGCCATAAGTTTCTGCGTGTCACTAATATGAATTTTTGCACAAGTTTCCGGCCCCCTGGCCTTGGACGACGTTCGAACACTTTGTTCGCCGATAATTAACGTTTCAAGCTTAGATTGAGCGTCATTTGCAATCGCCCGGATCGTTTACAATCGCCCGCTTATCCTATTGACGCAAACAACGTGTACTTTCGCGACGCAATTTCACCGCTTTCTCGTTAATCATTGGATTTATTTTAAGTGTATGCGCTAATGAAATATGCGCATACGCGAAACGCGATAATCTTAAAATTGATTAATGAAGAAATTTGTCGAGGCCGCTTTTCGAACGCTTCGCGCGCCGTCGCGTCGCCGCCCCCCATCCCTCGCGCCGCGCGACGCGCATGCGTGCGCCCGCGCTTGTGTATATAACGCGGCTGTTGTTCGTCAATAAAGCGAGAGGTTTGGAGAGGTCTAGGCAAGAGCGGGTTAGAGAGCTAAGAGAGCTGGTGACTCTCATTCTCCGTTGAACGTTCCGGTTGCGGTCCGATACTCCGATCCCGAAGGCTAAAGAATCTTGTCTGATTTTTGTAGCCACTGAGAAATTCGGAAAACATGCTTCGTCTCGTCGTGGCTGTCGTGGCACTCGCCGTGCTGATCGACGCGCAACTCCAAAGGTGAGTCCGCACGAACACGCGGATTTGCATTCCGCACACGTACCGCGCGATAAATACCGATTAGAGATCGTTTCAACTTCTTAGAATCGCGATATAACCTACGACGGTGGTCGGAATTGTAATTTTTCCTCGTCGGAGTAAAGCGGGCGAACAATAAGATGCTCTCGAGGATTCCTTTTGTGACGTCTTAAATGAGATCAGCGAGTCATAAGCGGAGTCGTTTGCATTTAGACTGATTTTGTAAATAGATGAATATAGGTAGCGGCCAGAGCTAATTCTTGTTCCTTTGCTTATTGTTTATAAATAGGTACAATCAGCTCACTTTGAGTCATTTTCTTTTTATATAAAATTAACCTAGGATCCAATTTTGTTGAATTTTAATGGCTTTGTTTAAGATCTAGACTGTAAGTTGAATAACAGGTTCAGATATGCATAAGTCATAATTGAACTGATTATCAAATTTAGTTAAAGATTTAGGTTCATATAATTAAGCGTTTCTCTAATATCTTTTGTATTTGCATTGCACAAGAAGCTTTCTTTTAGATTAAATTTCATGACTCATGCAGTTTTCATGACTCATTGTTTGTGGAACGAATACCACTTGCGACAACAAAGACATTTATATATAAGTTTATTATCTGTATACATACATCTCTTATAAATATCTTCACTAATATATATGTGTACGATATGATAGAATGTTCTTTATGTTGTTTTAAGAATTCCATTACACAAGACGGTTTCCATTCGAAATACTTTGAGAGAGGCTGGCACCGAGTTCGAACAACTTCGTTTGACTAAGGCGTATGTTGGCACACCAGAACCTCTGTCTAATTATATGGATGCTCAGTACTATGGCGTTATCACGATTGGTACCCCGCCACAAGAGTTTAAAGTGATCTTCGACACTGGTTCCTCTAATCTCTGGGTACCATCCAAACAGTGCAGCTTTACGAACATTGCTTGCTGTAAGTATATCACACAATGTCACTATTTCTTTTTATTATTCTATTTTATATATATATAATTTCATAATATTATTCCAATTTAAGTAATTTTAATTGCTTTTTGTTTATAATTGAGGTCGAGTAAAAATGTCGACTAAAAATAAAGCTATAGAACTGTAGTCTGTTTTTACCTGCATTTGAAGTAAAATCTTAAAACGTCTTAAAAAAAGTAGCACTTTTAAAAATTAAAATCACTGGTAAGGTAAATATTGGAGCTGAGTTTCACAATTGCTTTGCAGTCTTGTTTATGTGATTTATCACGCTTATTCTAAAGATACAAATGACCTTTGACACAAGATAGCTTACATATTAAAGCAAAAAATATCAATATAAATCCATCTGATGATTTAAACTACTGCCAATTATATATTTAGATTAATAAGGAAATTGATTTCTAAAATCTTTAATATCAACTGATGTAATTTTATTCACTATTTTTCGCAGTGTTGCATCATAAATATAATAGCAAAGCATCCAGCACATACCAGCCTAATGGTACTCCATTCGCCATTCAGTACGGTTCTGGTAGTCTGTCTGGGTACTTATCTACCGACGTAGTGGACGTGAGTTATCGTCGAGCAAAGTCTGATATAGTTCCACGACTATAGTCATAGTTTATAAAATATCCCTAAAAAATACACATATTGTTACTATATTCTTCGAATTGAAACACTTTATTAATATCACGTTGTTTGTAGGTTGCTGGTCTTAAAGTTAAGAACCAAACGTTTGCGGAAGCGGTAAAAGAACCAGGACTTACTTTCGTCGCTGCGAAATTCGACGGTATATTGGGAATGGGTTACTCCACGATATCCGTTGACGGAGTAACTCCTGTCTTCTATAACATGGTCAAACAACGCTTGGTGTCGCAACCTGTTTTCAGTTTCTATCTAAATCGGTACGTATCTTCTTTTCGTACGCGTCGCGCGCATCTAAACATATTTTTTTCAATCAAATAGTCTTTCCACGTTGTAATACAAAAAAAATATACAATCTGTACAGAGATCCCTCGGCTAAGGTGGGCGGTGAAATGATATTGGGTGGCTCCGATCCTAATTATTACGAAGGCAGGTTCACATATGTTCCTGTTACCCGTAAAGGATACTGGCAATTTACTATGGATAAGTGCGTGATTATTTTCTAAATTATATATCACACAATTATGGATCGTATGTCAGCAAATTGTTAACATCATCACATTGTAGGATCATAGTGGGAAATCGTGAATTCTGTGCAAATGGCTGCCAAGCTATCGCCGATACGGGCACCTCCCTCATAGCTGGACCAACGCCGGAAATTAATGCTATTAACAAACTGATTGGAGCTACTTCCATTTCTGGAGAGGCAATAGTAAGTAATCGATCATGTTTTTTGCAATGGTAGCTTTCAACAATATATTAAATAAATTAATAAATACTTGATAAGTTATTGATTACCAGTATGGAGTAACATTAACTATTATTTAAAGGTGGACTGTAACCTGATTTCTCAACTGCCTACGATCAATTTCGTCCTAGGCGGTAAAAAATTCGCTCTCACTGGTGAGGATTATATCCTTCAGGTGAATATCATGGCTCATATGTTTAAATTATTTTAAAATTTTTTAGAACAGAAATATCACGTCACTATTAATTTTTCGTAGGTCACATCATACGGACAGACGATGTGCTTGAGCGGCTTCATGGGTCTGGATATGCCTGGAGACCCATTATGGATTTTAGGCGATGTATTTATTGGTCCGTATTATACCGAATTTGACCTGGGAAACAACCGAGTAGGATTCGCTAAAGCAAAATAAATATTGATTGCCTTCTCATGAAGTTACCGTTAGATGCTAGAAGATCTAAATGCCAACTTTGTGAATAATCAAGTAAAATTTTTTTAAAGCATTGACTCCTATGTGCTTATTAATGCCTTGTAATTTTTCCATGCGGTACGTTGTTAGACGAATATGTATGTGATATTTTAGAAAGTTAGACCAAAGATATGCGATATTGTTTCTATCGACAATGTGGTATATTCTTTTCTTTCTACATAGAATTGTACTATTGCAAGGTTATATATTGAAACAATTAAGTCTATTACAATAAAATAAGTATTCTTTTCATATATCGTATATTGACTTTTCACATATCATATGTCAATCCTCTCCAATTTTATATATTATTTCAAAAAGTTTCATGTTATAAAAGTGAAGTATGTAAATACTTAATATTATGATAAATGTATCAACTTGCGAATTATAAGTGTATAAAAAAAATTCATAGCTATCGCATTATTTTATATTTCTAAAATTAGCATTTGCCAATTACGTGAGCATTAATAAATAGTTTCTATAACGCAAAATATAAATATGAATTGTAAAATAAATTATGAACAAAAGCATTTGACGTGTATCAAATCTTTCACTGCGGGAAGTTTCGACGTAACTATAGACGCTCAGCAGTCTAAGAGTTACAATATTTAGTTTCTAAGCAATCATTAATGAAATAAAGTACCTACAGGCGTTAATAGAATTTACAAAGAAACTTCGGCAACCTAACAATTCTTAAAAATCTAAAACTGGTTTTGAACTTTCATTTTTATTTAAACATATTATCTCATAGAATATCATTCCTTATACCCAATTTTCTATCAGGTTGCATACAAGTATATGTATAAGCATATAGTAGGAATCCTTAACACATGTACACTATTCAATTACAATTATTTCCTAACCGGTAAATAATAAAAATATATCACTCTGTATTTAGTAACAAGAAGAATCACTTTCTAAAAACTACACACCAGTTTTTGTTTGCTTGATTGCATGAAGTCCATAAAAAATTGCCGTACACGACGACCAAGACCACTGTTTCGTCAATGGGTTAAGTTTCATCCCATGCATTAATCTCGTCTTGCATCCATCTATAAGAAAAAAGTTCAAAAAACTATGTAGAAGTGCGCAATGTGCAGGAGCGGCCGCATGTAATTGTTACGGATTTGTTACAATCACACAGATATTATCTTTATACAACGAAAGAAAATTATCAGAATAATTTTGATAATTTTCTTATAGAATTAACAACAGAGATAAAACTTACAATTGTCTAATATACGTTGAACTTCGTGCGGAGCGATAAATTTACTCCATTCATGAGTACCACGAGGTAATCTTCTGAAAATATATTCACCTGCTACAATAAGAACCAACCAAGTTGGTAGAGTTTGATTTTGCGTTGTTATAAATATTGATCCGCCAGGTTTCATTATTTTCACGCATTCCTATAGAGAACATTCGTAAAATATTTAATTTTACGGTTATATTTAACAATTTTTATAACTTTTATTGTAATATTGTACCTTTAAAAATAGTTGCGGTTCTTCTACATGCTCCAGAACTTCAGAAGCTACAACAGCATCGTACGATTCTCCCTCTTTTTGGGAAAAGTCTTCCACGGTTGTCTGAATGTAATTCACTCTCTCTGATATACTAGGATCCAATTTTGCATGCTCTTTAGCAACATTTATTAATTCCGCCGATGCATCTATTCCAGTTACTTGCGCTCCTATTCTAGCTAAACGCTCAGCCAATATACCACCACCGCAGCCAACGTCAACAATCTTGATCCCTTTCAGCGGAAGGGCTGGGTCCTGCATCTGAATTCCAGCGTTTGCCAATCCATCCCTCACAAACTGTATTCTAATCGGTGCGTATAAATGAAGGTCGTAAATTAGACCGTTCTCGTCCCACCAGTCATTCTTGAAGGTAGAAAAGTGTTCAATTTCATTAGAATTCACTGTCGACAACGATCTAGTGATTCTATTGACAGATATAGTATTTCTCGATAATCTGTAATAAGCAATGAATCCTTATTTCATTATATCCTTAGTTAAACAGGCATTT